ACATCTTGCAAAGTTGGAATTGATTGATTGAACTTTTTAGTCCCACCCAGAATGCCGTTACCACCGCAGCCACGGCCAGCCAATGGGCCACACCCACCCGGCACCCGACGATGCATAAGTGGGTTTTGGGTTGCAGTTTGGGCACTCGGTCTCTAAAAGGTTCGCCATCACTGTACTATGTCAATGTTGCCCAAAATGTGGTTCTAGGACTGTAGGGGTTCCCCAAAACCCTCTCAGGGGTCTGTGAAATCAAAATTATTTGTCAGGCTATGTTGAAAAATAATACAATATTACCTCCCATCGGCCGGTACGCTCCCACAGAGTGGGTCTCCTCAGGGTGCCGTCAGCCAGACAGTGCCGGCTGGCGACCTCCAGGGGGAGGGCCTTCTCGGTGGGAGCTCCCACCCTCTGGAACGAACTACCCCCAGAGATCCGGGTGATCCCGGATCTCCCCTCCTTCCGCCGCGCCCTTAAGACATGGCTCTTCCNTCTTCCAACAAGCGGGATTGGCCTAGGGGAATTTTTAGTGGGGTTTTAAGAGTAATTTTAATTGACATAGGCCACAGCAAATATTTCATTTTAATTAGGTTTTAAATTGGGTATTTTTATTTTTGTATCTGTTTTACAAGGCTGTCAGCCGCCCTGAGTCCGTAAGGAGAAGGGCGGGATAAAAATTAAATAAAATAAATAAATAAATAAATAAATAAATATCTTGAGAAGCGGTAGTGGCAGTGAATGCATCCATTTTAACTTTTAATATGGTAAATACTGAGAAATGTAACTCATAGAAACAAAAGCTCTTTTGAGGTCCTCCGTAATATTTAGAAGTGGGAAGGGATCCTGAGAAATAAAGGTTTAAGGCAGGGGTAGGCAACCTTGGCTCTTTTGTGACTCGTGGACTTCAACTCCCAGAATTCCTGAGCCAGCATGGCTCAGCTTGGCAACCTCTCCCTTCCCCTCAGCATGGCTGGCTCAGGAATTCTGGGAGTTGAGGTCCACGAGTCATAAAAGAGCCAAGGTTGCCTAGCCCTGGTTTAAGGAACACGATCCTACATGATCCTCATTAAGCCACCCTCTGCATCTTCCTTAATGGAAACCTTCCCATCCTCTGGGTAATTCTCTATGTGGGATGAATGGGTTTCTCTAGGACTGGTTTTTTCTGCTATTTTAGGCATTTTTCCTGCAGGCATTCTTAAATGATTGTTTCTCACAAGCTATTCCTCATGCTGGCATACGTGGAATGGCTGGTTCCCAGAAAGTAGAAACTCAAGTCTCTAATAAGCAGGCTTAAAATTCCCCATTATCAGAGACCTGCCTTCTTGTCAACTGGTTGCAAGGCTGTTTGAAGCAGGAAGTCTCTTTCCTTAAGGCAGTGGTTCTCAACCTTTTTAATGCTGCGACCCCCAACCAGTCGTAAGTCGAGGAATAAACCGGTCGTAAGTCGAGGACTAAACCGGTCGTAAGTCGAGGACTAAACCGGTCATAAGTCGAGGACTACCCAACCGGTCGTAAGTCGAGGACTTTCCCTGCCCGGGAGCGCCGCGCATGCGTGGTTCCGCCCCCTGCGCCGGCCGAGGCATAGCTGGAAAGCGGCAGAGACGGAGCAGGCCGACCACCAGCTGGCCCAGCCCAAGGGAGGTAAGGCACCCGCCGGAAAAGGGGTGAAAAAATGGTGGACAGCCTTGCTTGGTGACCCCCGTGAAATGGCCGATCGACCCCAAATGGGGTCGCGACCCATAGGTCGAGAACCGCTGCCTTAAGGAGATATGTTGACTAAAGCAGAAATTGCTAGGCGGCGGGAATTCTTGTAACCCCATCCCCTTCCTCTCAAGGAATCAGTTGAGCGGTGAGACGCCTGCTAAGAAGGCAACTGCTGTTCATTCAAGCTCTTGCCAAAATAGCCCCAAGAGAGCGAATTCCTTTATAGCAGGGGTGTCAAACTCAATTTCATTGAGGGCCGCATCAGCATTGTGGTTGCCCTTGGGGGGCCAAATGGGTGTGGTCAGGGTGGGTGCGGCCTACTGGGTGGGCATGGATGGAGTGGGTGTGGCCTACTGGGTGGGCGTGGCCAGCTCTACATCGTTCGCGTCAAGGGTGCCTGTGGGGGCCTGGGCAGGAGTGGGACAGATCTGAGGGTCTCTGGCAGAAGGGGGTGGGACCGGGGCAAGCGCCAAGGCATGGTGCATTTCTTCATTCCTCACAAAGGGTGACACCTCCCCAGCAACGCGGCAGGGGCTGGTTCCTCGCTGTTTCTGGACGGCCTTGTGGAGCTAAGACTGAATGCATTTCAGCATAGATGGCCACCACAAAATTGTACATTGTCTCCTGCCCAGCCTGGGCCAGGGCCAAGGCAGCAGGGGCCGTTCCCTCACTGTTTCCAGGATGGCTTCACGGGCCACATGAAACCACTTCGCGGGCCACATCCGGGCCCCTGGCCTTGTGTTTGACATGTCTGCTTTATAGCAAGCTGCATCACTGCACCAAACTGAAGCCCCTTTTTCCACGTTGAGAGTATTTCTATCAGCACAACAACAACAATAATAATAAAAATATTGGAAGGGACCTTGGAGATCATCTAGTCCAATCCCCTGCTGAAACTCTATACCAGGGGTAGGCAACCTTGGCTCTTTTATGACTCGTGGACTTCAACTCCCAGAATTCCTGAGCCAGCCATGCTGAGAGGAAAGGGAGAGGTTTCCAAGCTGAGCCATGCTGGCTCAGGAATTCTGGGAGTGGAAGTCCATGAGTCATAAAAGAGCCAAGTCTGAAGACCCCTGTCCTAGACAGTCACTTCTCTGAAATGGTATAGGCCAGGGGTAGGCAACCTTGGCTCTTTTATGACTCGTGGACTTCAACTCCCAGAATTCCTGAGCCAGCCATGCTGAGAGGCAAGGGAGAGGTTTCCAAGCGGAGTCAGGCTGGCTCAGGAATTCTGGGAGTTGAAGTCCACGAGTCATAAGAGCCAAGGTAGCCTACCCCTGCCCTATACCATTTCAGACAAACGGCTGTCCAGTCTCTTCTTAAAAACTTCCAGTGTTGGAGCATTCACAGCTTCTGGAGGCAGGTTGTTCCACTCTACCATACAATAGACCAGGGCTCTCCAAACTGAACAGCTTTAAGACTTGTGGACTTCAACTCCACAAGTTGGCTGGCTGAGCAATTCTGGGAATTGAAGTCCCAAAGTCTTAAAGTTGCCAAGTTTGGAGAGCCCTGCAATGAGTACATTTTTTTTTTTTTGGCAGAACTGACTTGAAGCCATCACCTCACTAACATTTAAAAAAAAAGTTTTATTTCTTAAACAAACTTACATAGCCACCCGTCTATTAGAAAGGACTCCAGGCGGCATGCAAGAGCGAAAAACACAATATGATTAAAACAAAACAAACACTTAAAATTATGTCAGGGGCTCAGATAAAACTTGCTTCCATCAATCAACCATATCTTGCTGATACCATCAACATCCTGGTCTTAGTGCCTGGGAGGGAAAGCCAGATTGTCACTGCTTTCCTGTAGGTCAACAGGGTCGAGGCCACCATATAGGTCAACAGGGTCGAGGCCATCCTATAAGTCAACAGGTCAACAGGGTCAAGGCCATCCTGTAGGTCAACAGGGTCAAGGCCATCCTGTAGATCAACAAGGTTGAGGCCATCCTATAGGTCAACAGGGTCGAGGCCATCCCATAGGTCAACAGGGTTGAGGCCATCCTATAGGTCAACAGGATCGAGGCCATCCTGTAGGTCAACAGGGTCAAAGCCATCCTATAAGCCAACAGGATCAAGGCCATCCTGTAGGTCAACAGGGTTGAGGCCATCTTATAGGCCAACAATGTCAAGGCCATCCTATAGGTCAACAGGGTCAAGGCCATCCTATAGGTCAACAGGGTCAAGGCCATCCTATAGGTCAACAGGGTCGAGACCATCCTATAGGCCAACAATGTCAAGGCCATCCTGTAGGTCAACAGGGTCGAGGCCATCCTGTAGGTCAACAGGGTCGAGGCCATCCTATATAGGTCAACTGGGTCGAGGCCATCCTATAGGTGAACAGGGTTGAGGTCATCCTATAGGCCAACAGGGTTGAAGTCAGATCCTCATTGCTTTCCTGTAGGTCTACAAAGTCGAGTATCTCAAGGTAAGGGGAGGTTGTTCCATAAGGCAACTGCAGGACAAAGAAGACATGCTTCCAAGTCCCCACTAGCACTATTTAACTGAAGGAACTCTGAGCAAGCCCACCTTGCCAGATCTAGGGGACTAGCAAAAAATCACCAGGGCTAGGCAATCCTGCAAATAACCTGGCCCCATGCCAGGTAGGGCTTTAAAGATGATGGCCAGCACCCTGAAGGATCCTGGGAGGCAGGACAGTTCATATAGTCAGATATTTCTCAGGCATACGGTGGGTGTACCTCTACTCTTCAAGTTGCTGTGGTCTGGAACAGCTGAAGCTTCTGAATGGTCTTCAAGGGCAGCCCCACTAGAGTGCATTGCAACAGTCCAGTCAAGAGATGTGTAAGGCCTAAATGACTGAGAACAGGGCCTTGGAAAAAGTGTGACTAACGCACAAGATGTATTTATGCAAAGGCCCTCCTAGCCATGTGCCTGTTGCGAGTTGGGAAGGATCTCCTGATGCTGCACCAGCTCTGAAAGCCCAAATTAAAAATGGTGAACCACTAGATACAGTTGGACCCAAAACTCACAGCCATTCGATCTTGTCAGGAATCACGGAATCACGGAGCTGGAAAGAGCCACTAAGACCATCAAGTCCAACCTTTGGCTCCATGCAAGAATCCCAGTTAGGATCCATGACAGGTGGACATCTCTAGTTGAAGAGCAACCCATCATCTCACTGCATAATTGGTCCAACCGCTCAATCATTTATTATTATTATTATTATTATTATTTATTACTAATGAACGTTTTTGAGTTTTTGTCCTAGCATTCAGTTCTGGAATGAGAGAGAACTTTATTCTGTGTAGCAGTCCTTAAGGGACTGGAAGTGGGCAGTACTAGCAATAAGCACTTAAGACTTATATACCGCTTCACGGTGCTTTACAATCCTCTCTAAACGGTTTACAGAGTCAGCACATTGCCTCCCAACAACCTTGGTCCTCATTTTACTGACCTCCGAAGGATGGAAGGGTGAGTCAACCTTGAGCTGGTCAGGATCGAACTACCGAACTGCTGACAGCCAGCAGTCAGCAGAAGTAGCCTGCAGTACTGCATTCTGGCCACTATGGCTCTCAATGATCTTTTTCTGTTTTCTTTTCAAAAGCTCCTAAACCCGAGGTGGCAAACCTATGGCATGTGTGCCACAGGTGGCACGCAGAGCCCTCTCTGTGGGCACGCGAGCCGTCGCCCCAGTCATAGGCCTTCAGCTGGGTTTTATAAAACCTTTTCGCTTTAGGCCTCTGCCGCCATGTGCAAAAAAAAAAAGGTTCAATCAATCAATCAATTTCAACTTCTTGCGGGAAAAAAAAGATCTTGCAAAGTTGGAATTATTGATTGAACTTTTTAGTCCCACCCAGTCTGCCGTTACCACCACAGCTATGCCCACCCAATGGGCCACACCCACCCAATGGACCACGCCCACCCGGCACCCCATGATACATAAGTGAGTTTTGGGTTGCAGTTTGGGCACTCAGTCTCTAAAAGGTTCGCCATCATTGTCCTAAGCAATCAGTTGAATTCAACTCCATATTTTATTTCAGATCTCTCTCCCCTTCTCTGCTTTCAGAAAGCGTCATCTACATCATTCATAGCTTGGGCGAGAGATGGGGGGGCCAACAACCTTTATATTGGTTTTACAAGTAATCATTGACTTACAACCACACCTTTAACCGCAGTTCCAATTTACGACGGCTTCGGAAAAAGTGAGTTATGACCTATCCTTAAAAGGTATGGCTGTCGCAGCATCCCTCAGTCACATGATCATAATTCAGTCACTAGACATCTCACATGTGTGACAGTCGCCGTATCTTGTGGTCCTGTGATTGTGACTTTCCCATTCAGCTTCCCACAATCGAAGTCAATCGGGGAAGCCAGATCTGCTTAACAATCATGGTAAAAAGCAGCTGTAAAATCAGATCCCATCACGTGGTGTCTCATTTACTGACTGCATCACTTAGCAACTGAAATTCCAATCCGAATTGTGGTTGCAAGTTGAGCATTCCCTGTCTTTATCTCAATCATACACTAAAACTCATTCTTCTATTCTACTGCTGCTCAGTGGATTGTAATCTTTCAATTACTACATTCCAGTCATGGAGATTTTTTCCCCACTAGGTTTTAGTTACATCTGTGGCCTGAATTTCCTTAAATATGAACCCCCCAGATAGTTCTTCAAGTTACTTCTCTGACTGATGTATTTCCAGCGCTAAGAAACCGGGCTGGTTGGTCTCCGGTATGAATTCTCTGATGTCTCTTCAAAGTTCCTGATTGATTGAACCATTTCCCACACTGAGAACATCTGTAGGGTCTCTCGCCAGTATGAATTCTTTGATGCCTCTTCAGGAGTCCTGCCTGTCGGAAACCTTTCCCGCAGTCAGAGCACTTGTGCGGTTTCTCACCGATATAAATTGCGGTGTGGATCTGAGAACATTTGTAGTGTTTCTCTCCGGGATGAAGCCGCTGATGTTTTTTCAAAGTTCCCATCTGGTTGAAACCTTTCCCGCACTGAGAACATGTGTAGGGTTTCTCTCCGGTATGAATTCTTTGATGTCTCCTCAAGGTTCCCGATTTATTGAAGGATTTCCCACACTCCGAGCACTTGTACGGCCGCTCTCCGGTGTGTGTTCTTTGGTGTATCTTCAAAACATCTGCCTCAGTGAAGCATTTCCCACACTGGGAACATCTGTAAGGTTTCTCTCCGGTATGAATTCTCTGGTGCCTTTTTAAGTTACGCATCTCATTGAATCCTTTCCCGCACTCGGAACATTTGTAGGGTGTTTCTCCAGTATGAATCCTTTGGTGTATCTTCAAAAGGATCCCTCGGGTGAAGCTTTTCCCACACTGGGAACATTGATAGGGTCTCTCCCCCGTATGAATTTTCTGGTGGGTCTTCAGATTTCCTGCCTGATTGAAGCTTTTCCCACACTGGGCACATCGGTAGGGTCTCTCTCCTGTATGAATTTTCTGGTGGGTCTTCAAATTTCCTGCTTGATTGAAACACCTTCCACACTGGGAACACTCGTACGGTTTTTCTCCGGTGTGGATTTTCTGATGTTGATTCCACTGGCTAAATTTACCAAAGCGTTTCTCGCACCGAGAGCATTCATACACTTTCCTTTCAGCGTGATCAGGGGCCTGAATGATATTTAGCGAGTTTGCACCACTGAAGGTCTCGACGTACTCGAGAGAAGGGTCATCTTTTTCCTCTAGATAACTACGCTGATATCTGTGGAAGTGACTCCCGTTTCTACCCCCAGGAAACTGACACTTTTTCTCAATTCTTCTGTTTTCTGCCTTTCCCCAAAAGTCAGAAACACACTGGAGGTCTTCCTCGGAGCTAGGCCATTCTTCAAAGTCCTCCGAGGAGTCGATCATGTCAAGCTCCACCCTGTAGTGGTATTTCCTACCGTACTTAGAGAACAAAGGCGTTTTATCCTTGCTGGATAAAGTGGTCTTTCCAATAACGGCAGCAGAAATTTTTCTGGGCAGCAAAAGACGTTCCTTCTCGTTCTCTACAGGCGACTTCCGGGTCTGCTTTTTTGACCGGAAGTTTAATGGCGGATCCACAGAGCATTTGGGAGAATCTATCCCGGAGGAAGCTTCCAGCTTTTCATCTTCACCCAGACAATCATCCATCTTGATCTCACTTTCCCATCCATTACCTGACGAGGAAGAGAAACCATTTTTAAAACCATGCCTTGATTACTTATTTTCACCATGCCCTTTAACTTCCTTTCGGTTGGAATTTTCTTCCAAGGTTGTTTCCCTCTGGTCGCCGAGAGGAACCACACCCCACTGTAAATTATTGACTCTTGGGAGTATGCAAGTCATAAAACGATGGCAAGCCAACCATCTGGGTAAAAACAACAAGCCGGAGGAAACGAATAGCTGTAAAATGACACCATAAATCAAATAATGAACATGCTGTCCGGAATGGAGGTCGTCTTTTGATTTATGACCAATGGCTCAGCGGCCGTTTGAAGTTACGGTGGCGCTGAACGAAGGGTACTCAATCCCTGATCCTGAAGTCACAACCTTTGCAGCAGCCCTGAGGTCACAAAGATGGAGCACTTGGTTGTTTACCACTGCACGGGTTCTTCGACTCTACCCACCCGCCTACCTGCCGCCATCTTTCCCCTTTTGGCTACCCAGCATAGAGACGCTCCTCAGCAGTGGTATAGGGCCTAAGTCAGGGGTCTTCAAACTTGGCTCTTTTCTGACTTGTGGACTTCAACTCCCAGAATTCCTCAGCCAGGCACACGTGCCTGGCTGAGGAATTCTGGGAGTTGAAGTCCACAAGTCAGAAAAGGGCCAAGTTTGAAGACCCTTGGTCTAAGTAAAGGCCCAGAGCCTTAAACAGCCAGCCATTACCACCCCCCAAGCCTCCCCAGACAAGGCTGGCAGGAAGGCAAATAGACAGCTGGTCGTTTGTTTCCTTATTTAGAGAGTCGTTGAGGCCATTTGGAGGTTTATCAGCAGTTCCAAAAAGGCTCCACATCCATTTGCACTACTCAGGTGACCCTGAGGACACAGATAAACCTCCAAGTGGCCTCATTATTATTATTACTTGCAAAGTCGTGTCCGACCCATCGCAACCCCATGGACAACGTTCCTCCAGGCCTTAAGTGGCTTCAATGACTCTCCAAAACAGTGGTTCTCAACCTTTTTAATGCTGCGACCCCCAACCGGTCGTAAGTCGAGGACTAAACCGGTCATAAGTCGAGAACTAAACCGGTCGTAAGTCGAGGACTACCCAACCGGTTGTAAGTCGAGGACTTTCCCTGCCCGGGAGCGCCGCGCATGCGTGGTTCCGCCTCCTGCGCCGGCCGAGGCGTAGCTGGCAAGCGGCAGAGACGGAGCAGGCCGACCACCAGCTGGCCCAGCCCAAGGGAGGTAAGGCACCCGCTGGAAAAGGGGAAAAAAATGGCAGACAAAAAAATGGCGGACAGCCTTGCTTGGCGACCCCCGTGAAATGGTCGATCGACTCCAAATGGGGTCACGACCCATAGGTTGAGAACCACTGCTCTAAAAGAATGCAAATGACTGGCTGTCTGCAAGAAATGTAAATCCTTCCATTCCCCCACCATCCAGTCAGAGTTGAGGAAGCTTCTTGGATGAGAAGCGAAACGTCTTCAGAGAAAAAAACAACAAGAAAGTCCAGTTGCCTCTTGAAAAAGCCCCTTTGGGACAACCAAGCTCAGAGGCCACCAAGAACCTCCCAGTATCAGTCACTCTCCTGCTTTAACTGGTGAGATCTTGGAGGTCTATCCTGTATGTGAGGTCTTACATATTCAATTTCCTTTGTCACACTCATACATTTCCTGTCGCCCTGGGAATCCTTACCCAACATACTGATCTCCATTTCAACCCTTTCCCTCTTCATGGTTTCCAAGAGTTCTTCCTCTGCAGGATCAAAATCCACAGGGTCGTCCTTCAGCAGCCCCTGAAACAGGGAGACAAGACAGAAGATCCATTCAGATAGATTTTACCATTAAAAAACCCCAAAAAAACTCATCCACTCCCTTATCCATCAAAGCGCTGCCCAGAATCAGTCAGGATGCAAAACAGTATAAGGCAGTGGTGGCGACCCTATGGCACGCGTGCCAGAGGCGGCACTCAGAGCCCTCTCTGTGGGCACGCGCGCCATGCCCCGGAGATGGCAACCGTCCCTCTTCAACCAGCCGCCTGCTAACTCATCGAGATCCCACGTGGCCAGATGCATGGCGGGTTTCCCTCCCCTCTGTCCCATCCCTCCTGGCCTCGCATGCTCTCCTTTTCCCGGGCACAACCCACTGCATCGCCTCCTCAGCTGTCGGCCATCTGTCCAGCTGAGAGGCGGCTTCTCTTAACTTCTGGTGGTGGGCTGCGGGGCCCTAGAGTGCGCCGGTTGAGGGGCCGGCAGGCTATGGATGCTGACAGACACTGTTGGCCCCCATGCACTTGCTGGCCTCTGTGTGCGGGGGCCGATGGTGTCAGCCAGCAGCCACCCCGGCCCCTGCCTCGCCTTGCCCTGCGACAATGGCACCCCCTGCCCTGCCTCGCCTCGCCTCACCCCCGCAGGATGAGCCTCCTGCCCACTGCCCCACCTGCCAGAGACCCCCTGGATCTCCCCGAACCCTGCCTGGCCCCCACAGGCATCCATCCCCATGAGCAACATCGAGGTGACCACGCCCACCTAGGCCACACCCACCCAGTCTTGCATGACCACCACAGCCATGCCCACCCAGTGGGCCCTGCCCACCTGGCACCTGATGATAAATAAGTGGGTTTTGGGTTGCAGTTTGGGCACTCGGTCTCTAAAAGGTTCACCATCACTAGTATAAGGGGTTGTTAAGCGGATTGTGTGACTGTGTCCAATTGTATTACTTTTTTGCAGCAGTCATTTAGCAAATCTGTTTTATCCGAAGGGTGGGTTTTTTTTTTGTTTTTTGTTTTTGCAGGAAACCAGAAGTAAACACCGGACACCAGCGAAAAAAATGATGAAGATTGTACTCACGTGGCTACAGGATGCTAACAAAAGCCATAAAGGTGAACCAGGTACCAAGCGGCCCCAAATGCAATCATATGACCCCCCCCAGCAGAGGGCGGTATACTTCAAAACTGGGTCCTAAGTACCGTTGGGGGAGGTATTTTTTAGTGCTTTCCCAAAGCACCAGAAGACAAGACAAGAAACAATGGATGGAAACTAATCAGGGAGAGAGAAGCAACCTAGAACTAAGGAGAAGTTTCCTGAGGATGAGAACAATTAACCAGTGGAACAGCTTAGCCCGCCTTCAAAAGTTGCGGGTGCTCTATCACTGGAGCTTTTTAAAGAAGAGACTGGACAGTCACTTGTCTGAAATGGTATGGAGTCTCCTGCTTGAGCAGGGGGTTGGACTAGAAGATCTCCAAGGTCCCTTCTGACTCTATGCTGATGGATTGAAAGGCTTCAAACAGCCATTAAGCGACTAGGCCAGGGGTAGGCAACCTTGGCTCTTTTATGACTCGTGGACTTCAACTCCCAGAATTCCTGAGCCAGCCATGCTGAGGGGAAAGGGAGAGGTTACCAAGCTGAGCCAGGCTGGCTCAGGAATTCTGGGAGTTGAAGTCCACGAGTCATAAAAGAGCCAAGGTGGCCTACCCCTGGACTAGACTTTAAGCAAGGAGTAGCTGTATGTAAAATATTAAACTCCTCATGATTCCCATATAACAGTTTGACCTTCCCAAAGCTGGAAAAGCAGTCCTGTGAATTGCCTCCACATGAAACAAGTTATTTCAGGCCACACAGCTGTGTAGAAAATAAAGAAAGAACCACTTTTTGTGCATTTCACTTAAAAAGCTGACTTTCGGCCCTGTATTATTTTACGAATGCAACACATTTGCAACCGATTAGATGCAGGCAATTCTAGAAGCCTAATTCGGATTCTGTGCTGTCAGTTCTGGAATTAGGATCCTACCTGATAGGATCCAGATTTGGCCTCTTGCAGGCTTGCCAAGAAGTCCTCCACCAGGGCCACCGCCTGGGAACACGTGTCTGGCCTTCCTGCTCGGATCCAGCTCCGGAGGTCCGGTGGGAGGCTGACCAGGAACTGCTCCAGGATCAGCAGCTCCAGGATCTGTTCCTTGGTGTGTCTCTCTGGCTTCAGCCATTGGAGACACAGCTTATGGAGTTGGCCGTAAAGTCTCCTGGGGTCTCCCACCTCCTGGCAGCAGAACTGCCGAAAATGTTGGCGTTGCATCTCCGTCGTCAGGGCTTCCCCTCGCAAGATGGCGGCCTTCACTTTGCCGTAGTTTTCCTGCTCTTGGTTTTCCAGGTTTTGAACGGCCTCTTCTGCTTCTCCGCTCAAGGCTGGGAAGAGTTGGGCGGCCCATTCTTCTCTAGGCCAGCGGCAAGCTTTGGCCACTCGCTCAAAGGAGAGCAGAAAAGCCTTGGGGTTTTCCCAGGGAGACTCCTCTGACCTTCTCGGATTCTTCCATCCATTGGGAGCGGGTTGTGATGTCTGGAGGAACTGCTGCCAATGGACTTCCCAGCTCTCTTCCACCCTCCAAAATGGATCGTTTTTGTTCTTCTGAGGTGCTGCCCATTCCGGCTGTCGCTCAGACCCAGACCGAGGTTGAGTTACACTCGGCAGTGTCCCTCCATCGACTTCCTCTTCTAAATTTGGACTTCCGGCTTCTACTTCTTTCAGCGTTTTCTCCATCCGCTGCCCTCTAAAACCTACAGTTAGAATACACTCATATTAGATTGCTTTTAGCAGGACATTCTGGGACACAGCATAGTACAGGGGCTCCCAACCTTTTCTATACCCCGCACTGTCAAAGGTAATGATTTAGAAGCTAACCAGCTTGTATAATATGAGATGAATGATGCAATGTTAGGAATGACTCAGGAGGAGTCTGTATCCCTTTAAGAGCTTGAGTATAAAAGGGAAGGCCTTGCTGGAGTCTTTCTCTCTCGTCCGTTTCCTGCTGTAATTGCTGTGTATTGGAGTTTGCTGAATGGCCACATGTTGGTATCTTGTTCCTAGTGTATATTTGTAGATATTGTAATATAAACCACCATTTAATACAGACCATTGTTTTCTGTATTTACTTGAGACTCTAGAAAGAGTACAGAGAAGAGCAACAAAGATGATTAGGGGACTGGAGGCTAAAACATATAAGGAACGGTTGCTGGAATTGGGTATGTCTAGTTTAATGAAGAGAAGGACGAGGGGGGACATGATAGCAGTCTTCCAGTATCTCAGGGGCTGCCCCAAAGAAGAGGGAGTCAAGCTATTCTCCAAAGCACCTGAAGGCAGGACAAGAAGCAACGGATGGAAACTAATCAAGGAGAGAAGCAACCTAGAACTAAGGAGAAACTTCCTGACAGTTAGAACAATTAACCAGTGGGACAACCTGCCTCCAGAAGTGGTGAATGCTCCAACACTGGAAGTTTTTAAGAAGAGACTGGACAGCCATTTGTCTGAAATGGTATAGGGTTTCTTGCCTGAGCAGGGGGCTGGACTAGATGACCTCCAAGGTCCCTTCCAACTTTTTATTATTATTATTATTATTATTATTATTATTATTATTATTATTATTATTATTATTATTATTATTATTATTATTATTATTATTATTATTATCCTGGGTTACCTCAGCACAGTAAGACTATGCATGCTCTGACATGCACCCCTAGAACGCTTCTGATATATTCTGGCACCCCTTACAAAAGTTCGAAACAACGGCAACAAACAATGCATATATGCTATAATTTTGAAAACCCAAGTTTTTGCACCCCCTGGGATATCGTCTCGCACCTCCGGTTGGGAACCCCTGGCATAGTATGAAAGCAATAATTAGATAAGGGAAATTAAATAATAGAAAGCAAGGGATAGCTGCTCTCCAAGCTTCTCTCCGTGAATAAAGCCAAAGAGTCATTTTGGTGTTGCGGTGAGAATGCTGGTCCAGAAACCAGGAGATTGTGGGTTCTGGTCCTGTCTCAGATATGGAAGCCAGCTGGGTGACCGTGGGCCCGGTCCCTCTCTCCCAACCCAACCAACCTCACAGGATTGTTGTGATGGGGAAAATAGGAGGCAGGGATATTCGGCACATTTGGTTGTCTTGAGGTGACAAAATATTTTTTTTTAAAAAAAACACAAGATAGTCGCACAAGCAGCTGGATGTTTAAGAGTGGATGAGTTTTCTTTTACTCTCAAAACTTTTGGAAAAGGCAGTTTTCGTTTCAAAATTGTGACATTCATAACTGTTCTTTTAAGTCTGAAGTATTTCAAACGGTGCTTTTCGTGCATTTAAATCATCCTAATGATCTCGCCGTTTTTGTGGGGAGTTTTTCGTTATTTGTATCCCCGCCTTTATTATTTGTACAAATAACTAAAGGCGACGAACGTATCCAACACACCTTCCTCCTCCTATTTTCCCCACAACAACAACAACCCTGTGAGGTGGGCTGGACTGAAGGAACGACTGGCCCAAAGTCACCCAGCTGGCTTTCATGGCCAAGGCAGGACTGGAACTCCCAGTCTCTCACTTTCTAGCCCGGTGTCTTAACCAGTAAGACCAAACTGGTTTTGTATTTAGCTGAACGTAGACACTGTATTTAGGAAGAAATGCTGGCTTCTTAAACCAAATGTAACCTACATAAGGAAAGAGATAAACCAGTTGGGAGTACCGTAGCACTGTGTCACAATGTGAGACTGGTGGTCGTGGGGGGTTGTCCTTGTTATAGCCTCAGTTCCTGTACTACCTCTGCATCAAAGTTGACTGATTGGTTAAAACCATATGAATTCTAAAGTGAATAAATGAGTAAGTTAAATTAAAATGTAATTAAATTAAACACGTCTGGCAGGGAACATACGGCTAGGACAGAGGTAGGCAACCTTGGCTCTTTTATGACTCGTGGACTTCAACTCCCAGAATTCCTGAGCCAGCATGTCTCAGCTTGGAAACTCTCCTTTTTCCCTCAGCATGGCTGGCTCAGGAATTCTGGGAGTTGAAGTCCATGAGTCATAAAAGAGCCAAGGTTGCCTACCCCTAAGCTAGGCCAAAAGCTTTAATTATGTAATACAGCGCTGTTGGGAAACACTGTATTACTGTATTTGTACAACTGCTTGTTATGTTTCGGGAAAATCCTTACCCAGCACGTTATTTATTTATTAAATTATATATTTATTTGCATTTATTTAACGGTGCTGATCTCCATCTCACCATGTTCGATCTCCACGGCCTCCGCAGATTCTTCTTCATGTAAGAAAATGACATCTTTCTCTTTCAAGGGCTCCTGAAACAAGGACGAGAGTTTCACTCGGAAGAAAGAGCTGATTTTTGCCACAAACATCCCACAAGCCCACACAATCACACCAGGTCCTTGAGTCTTTCTGAGGCTCACTAAGAGGAACCTAGTTACAAGGGGTCTGTGTCCTACGACCATTTATTCAGCGACTACTCGAAGTTATGATAGTCCTGAACAAGTTAGAACAATTAACCAGTGGAACAACCTGCCTCCAGAAGCAGTGAATGCTCCAACACTGGAAGTTTTTAAGAAGAGACTGGACAGCCAGTCGCTGGCTCAGGAATTCTGGGAGTTGAAGTCCACGAGTCACAAAAGAGCCAAGGTTGCCTACCCTTGGTATAGGGTTTCCTGCCTGAGCAGGGGGTTGGACTAGATGACCTCCAAGGTCCCTTCCAACGTTGTTGTTGTTATTATTATTATTATTAATAATAATAATATTTATTATTATTATTATTATTATTATTATTATTATTATTATTATTATTATTATTATTATATGGTAGTTACTACTGATCCTCGGAATTCTGACCATCTCAGCACCCCGACGGTCGCGACCTGAGCATTTGGCAACCAGTTCATATTTGCAACCAGTTGCAGTGCCCCTTGATGACATGGTCACCATTTGCAACCTTAATTGTAAGTTGTTTATTTTTATTTTTTCCCCCCTAGAAGATTTCACTTTGTTTTTCAATCGAACCGTACAACTTATATGTTACATTAAAAGTGGGGAAAAAATTCTGAAGTGATTGATCTTAGTCTGATTTCTGGACGTCTCAAAAAGTTGACATTTTAACGGGGTGTGAATAGGAATTAAAATGAAAGTTGAATCGTCAACTCATACCTGACCCGGCTTGGATTTGACTTCTGGCTGGCTCCTAAGGAAGTTCTCCATCAGAGCCACAGCCTGGGAACTTGTGTGCGGCCTCTTTGACTGAACCCAGTCCTGAAGTTTCGGAGGTAAACTGGCCAGGAACTGCTCCAAAATCAAGAGCTCCAGGATCTGATCCTTGGTGTGTCTCTCCGGCTTCAGCCACTGGTGGCAAAGCTCCTGGAGATGGCTTTGGACCTTTCGTGGGTCTTCCACTTCCTGACAGTAGAACTGTCTGAAACGCTGACGTTTCCCTTCCCTTTTCACCGCATCTCCCCTCAAGATGGCGGCCTTCACGCTCTCATAATCCTCTTGATGAATGGTGTCCAGGCTCTGCAAGGCCTCTTCAGCGTCTCCACAAAGGGCCGGCAGGAGATGGGCCACCCACTCTTCTCTGGGCCACCTGCAGGCTGTGGCCACCTGCTTGAAGCAGGCCAGAAAGGCCTTGGGGTCTTCCCAGGGAGAAATCTCCACGTTCCTGCCTGCGTGGATGGATTGGGTCTCAAGAAATGGCTCCCACTGTGCGTCCCAGCTCTCCTCCATCCCAATGAATGGATCTCTTTTGATCTTTGCAGATGGTTCCTAAAGTTGCTTGCTTTGGCCGACTGAATGGGAGAGGCAAGCCTTTCTTCTGATCCCTCCTCTTCCAGTTCTTTTTGAGGCTCCTTTCTCCCCCTGTCTGCTTTCCGAAAGCCAGAGTTGTGTATTTATCCAATTAGATCACTTTTAGCACAATTGGGCTAAGGAATGCCTAACAGGTTAGAGACTCTGAAGAAGGATAAAAAACAAAACAAAAAACCAGACATTGGCTCTCCAAGATTCGCTTTTTAAATTCTAAGAGTAAACATTTGTCATTCTCTCCTCGGGAGCTAGGAAAAAAGGCCACAAGCTACACAACCCACACAGATGCAAAGAATAACAACATAGGGACACTTTATAGACCCACAGGTTTCTCTCCCCCCCTCTCCTTTTGTGCATCAAAAGGGACATGTGGTTGTGAAATGGGCATCATATTCAAGCAAAATGGAATCCTCAACCCCCCCCCAAAATAATACAATTCTTTCTCTAGCTAAAAAAGAGGTATCTCTTTAGCTGCCCCCCACCCCTTTATTTGGGGAAGAGGCCAGGCCCCCTTCTGCTCTCCCCCCAAGAGTCAAAAGCTGAGCTGCCAGCCGGGAGTCACCGCGCTCCCTGTGCGCACACACACGCGCACACACACACACTCGGGGTGCAAGAGCTCAGCGGCGGCCCTGCATCGGCGCACCCCGGGACGGAGAAGGATGGAGATCGGCTCCTTTCTTCTCCTCGCCCCGGAGCCCCGTTGTCCCCGGCCCGCCGAACCTCCCCCTCCCTCCCGCCGCGCTGGAAAGGAAAGCAAAGGATGCGATGCGATGCAACACAATGCAATGCAATGCAACGCAACGCAACGCAACGCAACGCACGCAGCCAGGCTCCGGGACCGGGCTGGAAGGCGGGCAGGCGCGCGCCTTTCCCGGGACGGAGGGGAGGCCTCCCTTTTGCAACGCTCCGCCCGCTATTCTGGAAGAAGCCCCCGCCGCCCACCTCCCCCCTGCAGCGCTGGCGGAGCACGGAGGAGGAGCCCGTACCGCAAGCGGCAAAGAGGAGGCCGCCGATCTTCTCCGCCTGGGGTTCCGCCCGGTGGGGCGGGGAAGCCCGGGGCGCCTTGTGGGGGGGACTCCCCTGCCGACCGGCGGGCTGCGCGGCTGCAGCTGCTCCCGCCTGTCCCCGCCCTAGCTTCTTTGCAGCCGGCGGCGCTCCCGCGGGCGCCCCCTCCCGGACGGCGCCGCAACGGCAGCTTCGCTTCAACCCGAAGAGACGGGGACGCGAAGGAGAACCTTCGAAAGAGTTGTGGGGAGTTGTGGGTTGCGAACTTTCACTCCCGCCTATCCCAAAGGGCTTTTCCAGGAGGCAGCCGGACTTTCTTGGGTTTTTTTTCTTTGAAGACATTTAAAGTGACAAAAAAATCTATTCTATTCTATTATTCTATTCTTTTTAAAAATATATGTTTTATTAATTTTTTAACATAATCACTTTAATATTTGGTAAACAGTGTGTTGTCTGGCTTTATCTTTAAGAAACATTCACTAACAGTTGATTTCTATAATCTATAATCCACATAATCACTTTACTTGATTTCCTCTTTTTCCCCTAATGTTCTTTTTTACCAACCTTAAAGTTAGTACAATTCTTGTTATTTTAATGACAATTGAGTATAAAGTTTTTCTACTACTACTACTACAGATAATAATCACCTCAATATAATATTCCTTTTCTATCTAGTCATTCCGGTTGTCTTGTCCCGCCTATCCCAAAGGGCTTTTTCAGGAGGCAGCTGGACTTTCTTGGGTTTTTTTCTTTGAAGACATTTAAAGTGACAAAAAAAATCTATTCTATTCTATTCTATTCTTTTTTAAAAAATATGTTTTATTAATTTTTTAACATAATCACCTTAATATTTGGTAAACAGTGTGTTGTCTGGCTTTATCTTTAAGAAACATTCACTAACAGTTGATTTCTATAATCTATAATCCACATAATCACTTTACTTGATTTCCTCTTTTTCCCCCTAATGTTCTTTTTTTACCAACCTTAAAAGTTAATACAATTCTTGTTATTTTAATGACAACTGAGTATAAAGTTTTTCTACTACTACTACAGATAATAATCACCTCAATATAATATTCCTTTTCTATCTAGTCATTCCGGTTGTCTCATCATAGATCCTGTTGACAGTTCTTGTTTACGTTTGTTTTTCCCACAGTGTTCAAAACATTCTTACTGGTTAAGATTTTCTCAACGTTAATTACATTTAAATATTTAAGTCTATTTTTTTCTCATGTAAGCCAACCCAATACTTTTACCTTTCTTAAGGAATAAATAAGACTAAAAAAAGAAAAAATTAAAAAAAATTAAAAAGATAGTATGCTATTTAAAATCCCTATTTCCTATATACATATTTCCATTTTTTTGGTTCTTTTTTACCATAATTAAAACTATATTTAATCTTTAAATATTCCATTTAATAAATCTAGTCCTCTAGTCTTTTAACTCTTATTCAAAACATTTTTTTAATCCATTGTAATTTTCTTAAAGTCAACCACCTTTAAATATCTAAAACATTTCCTTTATATAAGCCATTCCAACTCTTTTATATTACTCATATCCAGTGCTTTTTTCTAAAAAAAAAGGTGCCAGAACTCCGTTCTGGGCGTTCTATGAGAAAAAAAGGCCTGCTCATATCAAGAAATAAAATAAAAAGAAAGAAGAAAAAGAAAGTACTGTGTTAATTGAGGGGCTCCTCCGTCTTAAAATCAAATTCATATCCAAAGTTTTTCTATTTCTTTAACCATATTCAAACAGGTGTTTTTTTAAAAAAATATTCTTTCTGATAGGCCCCATTGTCTATTTCAGGGGTAGGCCACCTTGGCTCTTTTATGACTCGTGGACTTCAACTCCCAGAATTCCTGAGCCAGCTTGGCTCAGCTTGGAAACCTCTCCCTTTCCCCTCAGCATGGCTGGCTCTGGAATTCTGGGAGTTGAAGTCCACGAGTCATAAAAGAGCCGAGGTTGCCTACCCCCGTTCTATTTTCTTAATTTTCACTTTAGCTTCTTGGATGAGAAGCGAAACGTCTTCAAAGAAAAACCAGAAAGTCCAGTTGCCTCATGAAAAAACATCTTTGGGACAACCATGACCGGGATGACTGAGAGTCTCCGTAGTCATTCAGCCTACTTGATCTGGACCTGATGCGGTGGCACTTTATGCCAAGGCTTTTCAACCTTTTCACCCATTGTACCACTTTTAGGATATGGCAATATCCGAGTACCACCAGTTGCCTAGCAAGGTGTCAAAAACTCGATGACCAAAAAAAAAAAAAAGGAAAAAAGTGATAAAGTACAGGTAGTCCTTGACTTACAACAGTTCGCTTAATGACTGTTCGAAGTTACAATGGCACTGAAAAAAGTGCCCCCCAAGCCACAGCCGAGCAAGACACTTGCCTGCCCACCCAACGGCGCTCTTCCTCCTGTTCGAGGTTTTCATTGTTATATTTGTTAGGGATTGGCAGCGGGGGTGGGGTGGGGTGTGTTTGGTTTTTATTCCCCCCCCCATCTGCTGGGTGGTTGTAGCAGGTTTTGGTCACTTCACATGACCCTGGGATACTGTGACCGTCATAAATATGAATCAGTTGTCAAGCATCTGAATGTAAATCACAAGACCCTGGAGAGACTGCAACATTCCAGCTGATCGGCGCTTCTTTTGGGCTCAGCAGAAGTGCCAGGATCAGTGCTGCTTTCCAGCTGGAGCCTGGCACTGATCCTGGTGCTTCCACTGAGCCATGACAGCCCCGAAGAAGCGCCGATCAGCTGGAAAGCGACACTGATTCTGATGCTTCCGCTGAGCCCTGACAGCCCTGCAGCTCCAGCCATCTCTCGCTCAGGCTTGTGCGGTGCTGCCACCTGTTCAGCTCATTCCCCTCCCCCGCTACTTTTCTAGGATGGTCGTGTACCACAGGTGGTACCCGTACCACTGGTTGAAAAGCCATGCTTTATGCTGCCATAACAATGATGTGGTTCTGCCCACAGGAGAGGAGTGACACATGCCAAAGTGGCCAGAAATGGATCTTCTTGACAGGAATGCAAGCGATGCTTTGCGAGTACAGGTAGTCCTCGACTTACGACCACAACCGAGCCCAGAGTTGATGTTGCTAAGTGAGAAATTTGTTAAGCGAGTTTTGTCCCGTTTTACCGGACACTGCAGTGAATCACTGCAGTTGTTAAGTTAGGAACAGGGTTAAGTTAGGAATCTGGCCTCCTCACCGATTTTGCTGGTCAGAACATCGCAAAAGACGATCGGTCGCATGACCCCGGAACACTGCGACCGTCGTAGATACGAACCAGTTGACAAACATCCGAATGTAAATCGCATGACATGCTGCAATCGTCATGTGAAAATGGTCGCGAGTCCCTTTTGCCCCCAGGGCTGTTGTAACTTCAAACGATCACTAAACGAACCGTTGTAAGTCAAGGACTACCTGTCAATGCGATGGGGCAACTTGCAAAGGTGCAACGTAAGGTGTGGCTTTTGTGCATGTAGGGCTGTCCCATTTTCCGGTGTCTGTTTGTGGGCGGGTCTACGGTTATATTTATAGGGTGCCCGGTTGTGTGTGGTTCTTAGTTGTTAATTAGGGTGTTGATGGCCAGCTATAACTTCTCATAGCCGTAAAGCAGGTTACTCATGTGACCAACTTGACTTTAAGTGCTTTTTTGGCAATGGCCATTAAGCAAATTAACGGTTCTCTCTGGACTGGACGTAAAGGCTAATTTTCAGCACTGTCATACAACACGACCGTGGGATTGCTGCAAACGGGCATACTTGCAGCTTGGTTGCTGAGAGCTCAAACCATTGCCCCCCTTCCCCCCAGTCATCATAACTTTGAATCTGGGTTGTAAATACTCTGAAAAGTCCGTCATAATTTTGAACAGTCGCAGAGCAAGCAATCATAAGTTAAGAACTATCTGTGTTT